GTATGTGTATAGGTAAGTGTATGTGTATGTGTATGTTTATGTGTAGCGTATGTGTACGTGCTCATGTACGGGTACGTGTACGTGTATGTGTGTGTGAGTACTTGGTTTTGTTTGTATTTGATGGTGTACGTTGGTGCGTTTCTTGGTGTGTGTGTGTATAGTAGTGCGTAAGTGAGTTTGTAAATGCTGCTATATATATATATATATATACGTGCATTTACATACTCACTTTTGAATATATGTATATATATGAGTGTGTGTGTGTGTATTTGTGTTTTTGCGTGTTTTCGTTTGTGTTATTTTGTGTGTGTGCTTGTGTGTGTGTTCATGTGTGTGTATAAATTTGCGTGTGTGTTCATGTGTATGTTTTTTGTGTTTGTGTTTGTGTGTGTGTGTGTGTGCTTGTGCGCTTGTGTGTATGTGAGTATGTGAGTGTGCGTGTATGTGTGTATTTATTTATGAATGCATGTGTGTGTGTGTTTTTTTGTATTGTTTTGTATCTAGACGTTTATTCCTCGAAAATATATATGCATTTGAACGAAGCACGACTAACCAATACGAGCGTTCAGGGGGTTGTATATAATGAGCTTACCTTCAAACTCCAACACTCGGTCCACGGCCTCTTCGTGTCCATACAGTATATTGTCGTAGACAGTCTGCATTTCATCGCCTACTCTTTCGCCTCGGAATAAAATACTCTTGTTTCTCAATGCTTGCGTCTGGTTTGGACTGAGATGAATGCGATCCTAGATCAACAGCGAACACTCTATATGAGCATAGATATGATCAAATGTTCAACAAGATATACAGGTGTATACGCTTTTCATGTATTTATGTAGTAAACATAAAAAACTATCATAGCCGTCAAAAAACACTAAAAAATGAACTACAACAGTGTGTAAATAAATACTATTCTTGTGATTATTCAAAAAGACCTGACGCTTTTTTTTGTCCGTCTAGAACTCTAAATATGACTCTAAACTCTAAAGCATATTATTTTAATATCAATATTTATAGTCTAAAATAGTAAATACAACTCTACTGTTTTTAAAAACAAATTATAATACAGTACACACTATTTAGGATTAGCACTCAATTTTTCTTAAGCAGTGTGTGACACTGGGAGCAGCAAAAGCAAATAAAATATGTTTTTTCTACAAATATAGAAAACAAATTTTTTTTTTTTGGCTTTTGGTTTGTTGTGTTTTTTTCTAAACAACAAATATACTTGCTTTTTTTACAAAATATATATAGAAGAAAAAGAACAGGCCTGTTTTTTTTACAACAAAATACAATATTGATGTACAAGATAAACGTTTCACGTTTAACGCGAACGTATACTTTTTTACATGTTTTTGGTTTTGTAAAAAAAATTATCAAAAATAGTCCTGGGCTCTTCTGGCTCACAATCAGAGTTCAGGCACAGTAAATAAATACAGAATATTTTGAAAATAAATAGTAGGCCTGGTCGCCTGGAATACCTCTTTTTTTTTTAACTTGAATATATTTAGAAAAAAATATATACACCATTACAACTTCACACAACAAGAGAGGGAATTGATGAGTCTCGTCACAGACCTGGCTGACTTTTGGTATTTATTTATTTTATTGATGCGGCTCCGAGACCGACCGCCCAAGTCCCCACGGGGCCAAGAGATGAAGAGAAGGCCGAGGCCCCGAGGGCCGAGAGTTTATTTATTGTATGTGTATGGTTCAACGACTATCAGATATGTATGGTTATTAAATAAATCCAGAAGCTACTATAGATGCGTGAGTGGATTTTTTTAATAGGTCCGGCGTCAGCTGACAAATGCCTCTCTGTCTAAATAGACTCATGGAGGCTGAGGCGCTGTAAACCCTCTCATACACATACACACAAGAAGGCTCGTGCATCTCCCCAGAGGTGATTTTAAATTGATAGCTGGGCTCCGGCAGTTTATCTAAAGGATCTTTATTGAATCGAAAGTATAATATATGTAAACTTTAGTACTCCCCTTTATTTATTAAATGCAACGCGGCAAGTTTTGACTCATTGTTTTGTATCTGTATAAAAGTAAACGGTAGTGTCTGCACAAGTTGACGGTTATCAGCAGATTTGTATCTGTATAAAAGTAAACGGTAGTGTCTGCACAAGTTGACGGTTATCAGCAGATTTGTATCTGTATAAAAGTAAACGGTAGTGTCTGCACAAGTTGACGGTTATCAGCAGATTTGTATCTGTATAAAAGTAAACGGTAGTGTCCGCACAAGTTGACGGTTATCAGCAGAATGGCGAGCAAAAGGTGCCCCAAGAACAAAGCTGCCTTGCATGGAAGCCACGTGTTCACTTTCCGTATGTTTTGTTGTATATCGCCCAACTATCGATTGACTATTACTACAGAAAGCAACTGTGACATTGTATTAATGGTATTCTTGTATTGATGTATCACTATATCAATACAGTTACTTTGAGAAGTACTTTTAGGGTGTTAGTAGGATGAGAGCACCCATTCATTTTCCGTATGTTGTTCATCGCAAGTGTCTGTAAAGTAAACTTTTAATACCACAGAAGCTTTAATATCATCCCAAATGACCTTTTCGAACACGCCCGTACTACAGAGTGCAACTGTTACATTGCATCTGAGTTGTTCGTGTATCAAAAGACTCTAATAGGATGAGAGCATATGTTCGTACGAGCTAATCTTCGTCCAAAAAAATCGAAAGCCAGTTCAACACGTTAGATTCTGCCGTTTGTGTTGTTTCATAAATTGTACCCAGTAGCCTCAAGGGAATGGTTAGCCTATTGAAAATACTTGCACTTGTATTGAGAACAATTCAATATTCCTGTACAATGGCACATACTTACTTGAGGATACAGTCGTACGAGTATATGCCCTTAACTGCGTTCGCATAGCCTTCAATCAGCGCTTAAATTCATATGGGAACAAAGATTAACTCTGAGACGCTCGTATAAGGGGAAGTACTGATGGTTTTGCAGTTGTCGATTGATCAGACCTAACAATGTGCGACATAGACACACGAAGCTATTGCTTGTCCTCTCTGACAGATAGTGTATATCATTGCGTTACCAGTCCTTACATACCCAAGTCATTCAGTACTGCGAGAGACGAGAAGTACTTGGCAATTCAAAACATATATAACCACTTCAGGTAATAGTGACGCTGCTTCGAGCTCTGAGGTCGGTGGATCAGATCAAGGAGAAAATACACGCTTTATAGAGTTTGTAGAATATGACCACGCGCACTACGATGGCTCCTACGAAGCAATCAAGGCGTCTTATGGTATGTATCACTCGCGTTTGGTGAATATCGAAATCTTTCTGAAATATTTGTTAGGCATAGATATATCGTGTTAGATCCAAATTTTTTAACTTAATTTTAACATGTCCAGCTTTGCATTAACTCACTTCTGGCCGAATACATATATGGGTGTATACGAACTCACGTACACTCGTATATATATATATATATATATATATATATACATATATATATAAATATATAATCTATCTGTCTATTATCTATAAAATCAATTTATATCTATATATCTATCTATATATCTATTATATATATATATATATATATATATATATATACATATATATATTTACATATATATAAATATGTATGTATATAAATATATATATATGTGTGTGTGTCGTGTGTGTGTGTGCGTGTGTGTGTGTGTGTGTGTATGTTATATATATATATATATATATATATATATATATATATATGTGTGTGTGTGTGTGTGTGTGTGTGTGTGTGTTTGGGTAGGTAGGTGGGTGTGTGGGTGTGGTTGTGTGTGTGTGTGCGTGTATATATATATTTATATATATTTAAATACATATATATATATACATATATATATATAGCGTGTATATAGTGTATATAGTGTATATAAATATATATATATATATATATATATATATATATGTGTGTGTGTGTGTGCGTGTGTGTGTGTTTGTGTTATATATATTTATATATTTATGACGTGTTGTGTCGGAGGCTCGTGTATTGCAGTTTTACTAGTATATATAGCGACACTGTGTGTATGTTATGCTGTTGTGTTAAAATTGAGCAAACTTGTCACGTCCATCGGCAATAGCATTTCCTAAGGACAAGGATGGCTGGAAGAAGGCGGCGCAAAAGAAGTTTCCTTGTACGAAGTGGATTCCTTCGTATCAGTGGCGTAGCTGGATCGTAGTAGATCTGATTGCTGGTAAGTAGACTTCAGCTTAAGGTGCACTTGAGTTTCTCTCTAACTACTATGGTATCCCCACACACGTCTTTTGTCAAATAGATGTAGGTTTTGTATTAACGATGTTCAGCATGTCTACGAAGTATATCAAGGACATTAATTTTACATGTATATAGGTTGTCCACAATTTCATTGTCTGTGCAGCCGGTCAGCTAATTTTGTAAATTTATCATGAATAGCATCACTGTTCCAGGCCGTTAGCGGGATTATCAGCGAATGGAACCCATTTGTGTTATTGACAAATGTTCTCTCTCTTTAATACGTGTATATGATGTACGGCATTTCTGGTCATATCTTCAACAACACAGACGAAATTCCAAACGATTCTGCCTTCAGTTACTATTAAAATCCTGCGTTTTTTCGCTCGGCTTATATACAGCAGATTTATATATAAGCATTATCTCCGTATACTGAGCTGCCTGATGCACAAATCTTATTCAAATCCTTGGTCGTGAGCTGATTCTCTGAACACAACAGAATCTTGTATTGTTGTGTGTTGTGTAACTGGTCCAGCCCTGCCCACAACTGCGTCCTCCCAATATTCATTTGTGACTAGGAATAGCACTTTTGTAGATCACGATCTTATCTTTTAAACTTGGCGTGTGTACATCATCCATAGTCACATCAGGTCCTTCTATACATCTTCTCTTGCGTAAGCAATGAAATTATTACACCATAGAACCACCTGTGCACTTACTATACAAAGAAAACTGTGATATCAGCTGGCCTTGTCTAAACATATCCTATTTCACACTATTCTCTACACCCATGTTGCGTAGGTATAACGTTGTCTGTCATGATGCTGCCTCAGGGAGTTGCGTTCGCGTCGCTGGCTGGAGTACCGCCTCAATATGGTATGTGATATGCAGATTTTCACGACACGGTTTGTGGGACACTTTCTCCTGTAGAACACATGGTCTGCAGAACGGCCCGTGTTGCGCCTTCTGATGATGTATGACTTGTGTTCAGTGTCCTGAGTTCTTACGGTATGTTATACGCAGTCTCTCGCGATGCATCAGCTGACAGACGACTGTGTTAAGAATTGTGTTCCAACCTCTGCATTTATTATAGCATATATATTCGTGAAAACGACAAAATGCCATCGCAATGGTAGTGTGATCTCAAAAATTTAATTTGCGACAATCATCTTTTTTTGCTGCATCAGGGCACATCAAGCTCATCACATTAGTTGAAGCCGTAAACTACAGTTCTATCTTTGTCAGGATGTTATGGACGGAGTAGTACACAGCCCGTTTCATGCGCTTACACCGGAAACTGAGTTAATATTTGTGTTCACTGCCCACTTAGGTTTTTGACATGCTTGTATGTATTGTCGGCTTTAAAGCTTATTTGTGTTATGCTGAAATAATCGTATGCTTCAACGATGTGCTTATCCATCCTCGAGACTGTTTTATTATTGCACCTATACGTTCATACAATCTCCATCATTGGTTCAAACATCGCACCCGCAGGATTGTACACGTGCGTGTTCCCTCCTTTAGTCTACGCATTCCTGGGCACATCCAGGGAGCTATCCATCGGTCCTTTCGGACTCACGTCACTTATGGTTGGCCAGGTAGGTATATAATGTGGAGACATATATTTGTTATCTGTACACGCTGTACATCAATTTAGCTAATAGGAGTGGAAGTCATCCCTGGAAACTGCGGAATATTCTCACAGTAATGATGTATGCATGCACAAGTTGAAAATTTCGTCGGCGTGGAAGTTATCCATTTTATTCGCTTTCGTCGCACTCTCGATCGGAATCTCTGATCACAATCCACACTACTTGCACTAAGTGTTTTCACATTTAGATGTCAGTAGGGTTGCGACACATGCTTTTGGGGTTGCGTATGTTCAAATTTCATGCACAAAGGATCGGTGGTGCATAAGTGTAATCATATAGTCTCCGATCTTCACTTCCAGCTGGCCGACAACTCACTTAATATCTTCTCTAGGGTGTAGCTGCAGCGCTAGACGGCGGAGTACCCGGAAGCGACGAGTTCATAGCCTATGCTGTCACAACGACCTTCGTAGTGGGACTGTATCTATTTATAGCCGGCCTGCTCAAGTTGGGGTTTATCACCATATACATGAGTACCCCCGTAATACGGTCTTTCACCACTGGAGCTGCCATTGGTATCGCCACGAGTCAGTTGAGCAGTTTGTTCCAGATCAACACCCCGAACTATGATGATCCCTTTGCTAATCCACAGGAATGGTGGTACATCGTCACGCATCTGGGCACTACGAATGCATGGTATGTAGTTTCTTTGTATGGGTTGTTCTTTGTTTTGCTGTAGTTGCAGCGTTGCCTTGTATGAGGCTATATCGCTCGCAACTGGAGTAGGCATCTGTATCATTGCCATCGAATTAAATATAAATAGGTCTGATCGTACGAACACTGACCGTCACACAAAGCAACATGCTAGTATGGCACGTATTCTGCAAACCCAGCTCGCAGATACACTAAACACTGGCTCCAATAAATTGTGGGAATTTTTTTTTGCGGCAATAACGAAACTATGAAAAGTTGAATAATTATCCATCTTCTATGATTGTGTCATTGCAGGTCTGTAGGTATCGGAATTGTTTCCATGATATTCATCTACATCACTAAACTGTTGAATGAAAAGTATAAGACAAAGATGAGGAATATCCCGATACCCGGAGAGCTCATAGTTGTCGTTGCTGCAATTATACTGTCGTATATTGCAGGACTGGACGAAAAGGTGGGACATCTGGTGAATTCTGAATATATTTTTCGGTCTAATTAGTTAGCTATGGGAGTGAGTGGTGCACTGTGTTTGCAAAGTACAGTGATGTATGTCTTAAATACGCCTCATTATATGATGCTTCTTTGCTATCATTCCCCATTACAAATGTCGGAATATTCAGCTCGCATGCGTAAATATCAATATGGGCCAAAATCGCCTTTACAGTGCTGTATGCACGCTATATTACTACAAACTTAATCTAGCACCTACACTTGATCTACATACTACGCACAGGGTGTGGCCGTGATAGGAGATATTCCGCAAGGTTTGCCCGCACCCTCTCTGCCACCCTTCGGATCGGTAGACATAGTCAAAGTAGCTCAGCTTGCAATGCCAGTTGCACTGGTAGACTATATGGTATCTGTAGGTGTGGCTAAAAGTCTCGCATTGAGAGGTCAATATAAAGCCAGGTACATGCACATGATTGAGTGGCTGCTGTGAAATGCGAGTGTTGTACCTTCGAAAATATTTGTTTGATGTTTAAAGTTACGCAGATTACTATTGATAGTGTTAGTTTCAGCTGTATGTGCACCACCACTGCTTGTAGACTGAGATTCAGAGTCTGCATCAGTTCTAAGTCACATAACGAGTCCAAGATTAGACCCCTACATTCTTGGGGTTCTGTCCTGACTACCACATGGCCGTCGCGAAGCTCGCCTGATTCAGTTTCTAAGGTCATTTAATATGTATTGATCAGAATTGCCACACTACTATTCCCAACCACTTTATAATGTAGCTCCAACCAGGAGTTCATAGCACTGGGAGCGACCAATATCGTGGGATCCTTCTTCGGGTGTATTGCGGCATCTGCCTCTCTATCACGAACATCTGTAGTCGCGTCTATTGGAGCCAAATCACAATTGCCAAGCATCGTTGCTGCCTTGATTGTCATAGTAAGTATATATCAACACTGTCATAGTACGTGTATAGCATCACTTTATAATCGTGTCGGGGTGGTCTGCATTGCGGAACAATATTTTTTTAATGTAACCTGACGTATGCGAGTCGGCCATACATAATTGTGGACACACTTCATATGTTCGAAGCGGCTTTTTCTTCCTGCAAGAAGTTATTGAGGTGTAATTGGATTTGATCTCATATGAAACCATCCTTGTGGGTAAAAAATATTAGTGTTTTTCGATATCGAATACCAAGGATTTTATTATTTTCATTAGCTTTCCGATACTAACAAAAAAAAATGCCTTTTTTATCCCCAACGATTCCAGGTTGTTTTATACTGTCTCACCAGTGTCTTCTTTTATCTGCCAAAGAGTGTGCTAGCAGCCATCATCATTGTTGGTTTGAGGTATGTGGAAATGTATATGTGCCTTGGGAAACTGTATAACGTGGAAAGTATTTTTTGTATTGGGAGATCATGAACCTAAATGCCACAATCATTTTGTTCCGTATGTAGCACCTTGATCATGAATATGGACCACTGGGCGCACGTATATGGTGGCCATGTGCGATTTTATTTTACAACCAGACTCCCAAGTGCGACAACAACTTTTCCGGTGTAAAATGTGCTTCATAAAAAAATGTTTCTCGACAATCAACGCCGGACTAGTCTTTTAGTGAATTGTAAGCCGTAGGGTACACTTTACCGGCAGGAACGTGTACCTGTAGAGCATATTCAGCACATTTTCACAACAGTATTGCATATCGCCAGCATGCTCAGCGCTTGATTATCAAGAGTGGACAATGGGGAAGGGGGGGTTGGATATAGAGCCTATTTCTATTGAATGAATCCAGATTTCTGAATCGGTTTAATACGCAACGTACAAGGGTAGTGATGTAAGAATTACTTACCGCCTCAAATGTCAATGTGCAGAGGAATGTTCAAGCAGCACAGGGATCTCATCACCCTGTGGCGATCGAGCAAAAGTGAATGGCTTGTGTGGATATGTACATATTTGGCTACCATTTTGCTGGGTATCACAGTTGGTCTCATAGTTGGGTATGTCTCTTCCTTATTGAGCATTTTTCTGAAGATGGTTTCTATTTCATAAGCGATTACCAAACCACACGATTTTGCAAGCTTATTTGCCACGCGTGATTGCCACATTTCCCTTTTGTATATAGTTGCTCACCTCACTCCTTTCGTCTGCGGCAGGGTTGTATTGGCGCTTTTGGTAGTTGTATACTGGATTTCTCGGCCACGTGTATCGCAGCTGGGGTACCACAAGGTTAGTCAAGAGCCCTGCTTAACAATGTTTGCTTGGATTTGTCTTTTGTGGGCTGTTAGAAGTCCTCGTTTCCCAATGACGTGTTGAATGATATATGTATTGCGTTTTGATCGGTCTTTAGTGGTGCTCAAAATTCTACTCAACTTCATCAACTCTGGAAGTCTCTCTTTGATATCTGAGGTTGGATGTGGTTATTGATGACTATACGCAACAGTGACACATATGTAGTTGGCTATCCGAAGTGCTATGCTCACAACTTCATCTCAATTCAAAATTGTTTCCACAGTATTAATATCAGTTTTGAATTTTGAGTGAGTAATGTTTGCCGAATCGGTAGCGGATAGTCCATTTCATAAGGTGTAGAGCTCCCAAACTCCAATAATTTCAATGGCAACACGTTGCAACTCCCCGCTTCACATTGCTTCTCACACCGAACTGAGCTTTTATCATTTCTGAATTCACAGCAATCGGGAATGTACCGTGACTTACATCGAACTCAGTGCGACACAATTGACAAGTGTTTGGTATGGAGGTATGTTACTGAATCAATGCCATCGGTCCAAAGGACACTTGCTTGTAAACGTATTAGTATTCGTTCAAGGATTCTTGAGTTGTGATCCCTTATAGGGTAGTGTGCGAAGGAGTGTAGACCCTGGTGCAGATGCTATCTATTATCGCATCAAATCCAAGAAATACTACGAGCAAAAAAAATCCCGTTTATTCAATAGAAATTCCTATAATAGGGAAGTTCTAAGCTGTTCACGACTCCTGTGTAGAACTTGTGGAATTTTACGAGTAGTTAAATTGGAGTATGTACAAATTTATATGATCTGACCATTCAAAGTGCAGTGGCTTTGAGTGAGACTAGGGAGACAGGTAGTGCTGCACTTTCCGGATAGATACTAGATTTAAACTTAACTATTGTTCGCAAATACTTGCAAGGGTATGACTCGATCTAAGATGTTTAGTGAAACATTCATCTACGCTCCATTGTCTTACTCAACTGTGCTTGTCAAAATTGAAATACAACTAGACTTATTCAAGCCATTAAACATTGTCATTTCACCATTTGGTTTTATAAACCTCAGGTTCAGCGCGTCGTTATGGTACTGCAACGCCGACCACTTTCAGAACAGACTGATCAAGCAATTCAATGCAATGGATGGTATAACGGATGTTGTTATCGACATGAAGTATGTTTCGATGTGCTTGGGCATTTGAGTACTATAAGGCGAGTGTGCTGGCGTGGTTGTATTATAGGGTTTTAGGGTTTCAGCGATTGAGGATGTGACAGGTAAAACAGTACGATAATTGAGGCCGGATTGAAGGAGTACTGAATACAGATACCTTTCGGCGTGCCGCAAATGAAGTAAGGTCCGTTGAAGGTCTCGCGACTACGACACCCAGTGTACAGCATGCTATTTGAGTTATATGGGGTGAACAAATTTTTATAGCTAAGATATACACGCAAACTTGTTGAGCTGTATATCACCTCTACCTACTTGCGGTATGTCAGCCATACCTATGTCCGTCCACTTCTGTATGTCTGCCCTTTGCAATGCAGAAGTATATTTGTCTACGTGAGCGCTTTTTATCTCGTTATCTCTCTGAAACTCTACAAGGAAGTATAAAAAATTGAAAAATGATACAATATCTGCAACACGTGCATACTTCCGCTTTATTTAAGATAGTACCATACACGCGTGGGCAAAGACCTCTGCGCAAAAGGTATTTGCCTTCTCAGTTAGAGTTTCTCTATCTCAATATCAACTCCACTACAACCCCTCTCTCCGCAGTCCAGTCAACAATATGGATCTACAGGGAGGGCTGACCATTTGTACAATGCACAAGTATCTTGAGGCGCGCAAGTGCAGATTACTGCTCGCAGGATGCAAAGGTCGGTGTACAAGTGTCGTTTTCTCAATATTCAGGTACAATAGTGTCCTTTTACTGTAGGTGCGTATGTGTGCATTTGTACGATGTTCTTATTTGCAATTGCGGTTTACCGGACGAAACCTTGCGCCCAGTGTGTATATACAATTACCCGTACTAGGTCGCCATCCGTTACAAATCAAGTATACATAAAGAAGGGACGTGTATTCCAGAACGTCCATGTAGTTGCGCAGACCTCGGAGACCTCTCTTTTGCACCGATGTTCCATATACACCAACATAGCAGATTGGAAAGCCTATTTGTACATGTGAAAGCCAACGTCAGATTCGCCTGTAAATATCGGATGACCGATGTTTATCTATTTTACTATTTTCATGGGACATACCGTTGCGACAGGTCCTACGCGCGATGTACTGAATAAGGCTGGTTACTTTGCGCTCATTGGCAACTCACAGAGGGTGTTCAGCGCCGTGCATGACGCTGTCATGTATCACAACGAAGTAAGTTACGTTCACAGACGTTCTATAGTACCATATCAAAATTCACCATCGCAGACATTATTGTTTCGTTCCACCAATCCCCGTGAGGATAGAAAGCAAACAAATCGGTACCTCTCTGTGGGCTTTAGCAGCGAATTTATCAATCGATGGCTATCTGAGTCAATTCAACGCCGTAAAGATTTTTTTGCGTCAATGCAGCTGTGATTATATTTTGCTTTTAGCTTTTTCACCGTTGCTTCTCTGTAAGCAGAGTGTACCTTGATTGTGAGTTCGTTGGCTTCCTTCTGTGAGCTTACCTACCAATTAATTAGGAGGTATAGTTGTTCGTTGGAATATACTGTATCATAATTGTGGTTGTTAGCAAATACTAACCATATGAAGTATAGTTGTTCGTTGAAAGAAACTGACATCATAATTGTGTTTGCTAGTATATGCTGAAATTAATAGGTATAATTTTGTTCGTTGAAATATACTGAAGTTACAATTGTGTTTGTTAGCATATACTGACATTAAGAGGTATAGCTGTGTTTGTATAAACTGTTATCGCGCAGGTTCTTTTAATGTATACCGCTCTAAGCATTTCTCCGTATTGACGATGATGCATACACTGTCGGTTCTATGTCATAGAATGTATCCTACCGACACGTACGCAATGAAGTACTCGTGTACTTTGTGTCTACATTTGCTTATTGCAGTCAGTAAGTCATGTCTCGCTACGTACGATACCTCTCATCATTGATATATGTCTCCGCGCATTCAACTAGACGGAAGAGTACAGTCGTGACAATGCTATTGGAGCCCCCTTGACTGTGAGTCAGGTGCTGGATATGGGCGAGAACTATGGAACACATGTAAGTGTTACATCGTTCTTGTACGTGTTGCATCGTTCTTGTACGTGTTGCATCGTTCTTGTACGTGTTACATCGTTCTTGTAAGTGTTGCATCGTTCTTGTACGTGTTATATCGTTCTTGTAAGTGTTACATCGTTCTTGTACGTGTTACATCGTTCTTGTACGTGTTACATCGTTTTTGTAAGTGCTACATCGTTCTTGTACGTGTTACATCGTTCGTGTAAGTGTTACATCGTTCTTGTATGTGTTGCATCGTTCGTGTAAGTGTTACATCGTTCTTGTATGTGTTACATCGTTCTTGTAAGTGTTACATCGTTCGTGTAAGTGTTACATCGTTCTTGTATGTGTTACATCGTTCGTGTAGGTGTTACATCGTTCTTGTATGTGTTACATCGTTCTTGTACGTGTTACATCGTTCTTTTAAGTGTTACATCGTTCTTGCATGATGCCAAAATCGAATTGAAACACGACTGACCACGGGTATCTTGCTCGATGAAACATCGTACTTTCTCTCTACAAATGGATATAGATTGCGGATTTGAGTTTTAGCGCAATATCCGAAAACGCATCTGAACCACATTTGAGGAAAAAGAAAAAACAATTGACGGCAATCGTACTAAGTCATATCTATCTGCAGATTCTCTCACGAGTGGTTCATATCGGATCGCGATTGGTCATTGGTGCCGTTTGCAATACTGTATAATTTGTGACAATCACCTTGGCTTGCTGTATGTTTCCACCACAGCCACATGTTGTGCATCACACCCATACAGTCACGCTACCTTGACATAGTTGTAGTATCACCCGGTATTATGCTTGTCCCAGTGTTAAATTACAAGTAATTTATTGGCGTCTAAAAAACAGAACTACCCAAGCGCTGCAAACAGCAATGGCAGCATTCACAGCGCACCGTTAAACGAGTACGATAACGGCGAATGTGATGTAGGCGATGCCTTTGTCAACATCGATCTCAATAAGGATGAACTGGAGACTGTTTCACTACCAATAGTAAGTCAGATATTAAGAATATGAGGTCTTGTGTATCTTCGGAATGTGACAAGGAAATGCCCACTGCATTCGCTTTCGTCTCAATGTGTTCTACTTCAAGTGTTGTGAACACAAGGTATCAATGAGCCATGCGCACAGGGTCCACTATTTCATTCCAGGGTTCCGTGAATCTTCCCATTTCTATGTTAAATAACAAGTTCGTTAAGGCTGATACAATGAAGTACCTGTGCTATCTAGATAGCAGCTGTACACGTAATAACTATGTATTGCCATGAAAGCTTCGCTGTGTGCGCGTATGTGCATAATTGTTTTCAGTATATGAGAACGAACATTGGAGAGCATCATATGAAATCTCTGGTGGTAGCTTAGTTTTTTGTTGGCTGTGATCTGTGCTTGCTTGTGAAAGCGTGTTGATCAACGGTGTGTAACGGACAAATTGACTTCTACTCAGTCGTTCTAGTTTTTTAGGTTACGATTAGTTGGTAATAGACATAGGCCATTTGCAGTCAGATGCCATATCGTAGCGTTCACTACGTATGATCTGCGCTGCGGGGTCGTTCCATTGTGTCTGACATCTATCCGGCAGAGTTGTACACTCGATTTCATGAGTTTCTGGAGGCCGTCAGTTTTTCAATTATGTAGCATCTCGTTAAAAATGCATTTCCATTGACAATGTGATACACTATCAGATAGGAAGGAAAGTTCATACTCCGGGATTCATTTCACAGCTTAATGGATCCTCTTTGCATCTAGCATTGATTTGAACAAGTTTCTCACAACCAACATTCGTCGTATACCCGCAATCCACCTTTTACAGGGAAAAGGCAAGGCAGCAGCAAGCGGGAGAAGGTCGTCAAACATGTTTTCAACAAACGCGGACACCGGAGATAAGTTCAAGAGTACCGATCCCAACACTACTGCCGACGATGGCGAGTCTGCGTTTGGACTCACATTGGGCGGATCTCAGGCCAGTACCACTATCAGATCCACTCACAGCACTCCGTACATAAACTCGAAAGCACATGACACAGCTGGGAGAAGCTTGGGGAGTTCTGATGGTAGTGACTCTGATAGAAATGCGATTGTAATACCCGATGATGTGATTAAGCGGACGAAAAACTGAGTTCTTGCATAGACATTAAACATAGGCAGAGTTGTGTAAATGTGATCGTATCGGTGCCTCTGTTTAGGACCGCAACACGTGCACGAAAGTGTACGTTCAAGTAGAAATGCGGGAGCGGTTTCTCGTAAGCAAATACTGCATTGCCGAACAGAATCAACGGAGTTTTAATGCATATCAGCATTCGTCCTGGGACATAACTGCGAAAGCATATGCAAACTAGCACGTTTCACCGGACCATGGCTTCGTGAGACGAAACTTGCATTCACGATATATAACTATGACGTGGAGCAAAAACGCCGTTGGTGAATAACTTTCCTCGAAGCCATCTAGTTAATGGATGTTTAGTGCACTCTGAAGGTAATTGCGAAGTGTATGAAGTGGGAACTGCATAGTCACCGCAGCTACGTGATGCATTCTAACGATATGGATACACCCAGACAGAGGCGTGTACAATGGACCTCAATTTTATGTAACGAGATCGATTTGGGCGAGTGGCAACCCTTGCGCGATACACTGCTGTGCCGGTTACACCTCAAGATTGTCCAAGCACGTTACGTGAAAGTAAATTCGTTAATTCGTTAACCTTGAGGAGTGCATTACTCTTCAAAAGACATGAAACTAAAAACACTTTTGTGACTATTCTCGTTAAGTTCTGTGAGCGAGAAAATGAGAGTGGCACGTATTGCATTGATTTTGTCTGTGTATGTAATACAACTAATTTCGAAGTCAGAAATTTGCAACACAATCTCGTTCTGGCCGAATTTGTATAGAAATATATTTAATTTTGCTGGCATGTTTAATAGATGCGTGTACTTTGTGAAGACTTGCAGTAAATAGAGCAGTTAAAAGTAATAAAGGTGAACAATGACCAGTCGAAGATATCAACGATACAAATAAAAATGTGCCATATATGACTACATAGTATATTATGTGTAAAGACGGTATACTCAAGAAGCCCACTCTAAGTGTTATCGAGCATGACGACGACAGTGTTTCTATAAGCACACGCAAGATGTGAAATCTCCTTGCCAAGATCAAAATATGCCGGACGATAGCGTGCGTCTTAAAACCTAGCAAGGAATCTTCGAGCACCCGTTTTGAACGCTATCACTTCATTGCGTGAAAAAATTCTCATATGGTGTGTCTATCATGATATACCTGTCCAGAATCGGAGGGACATGCACAGTTGCGCTGACGCCAGTCGCTGTACTTGTAATATTTTGTTGGTGAATCATCTGCAACGCGTCGAAATTTTAAGTATATCATTATATATATATATCTATATATATATACGTCATACCTTATCATTCCCAGATCACCGTTGCTGAGCATCGCGGCAGAGCATTCACAGCTAATCGTCACCCAATCGTACTGGCCGGTGCGGTTTTTGTTTATCGTCTCGAGCTACGAACATGACCAATTTGTTCAGCAGATATCCATCGCCTTGAGCTACGAGCATGAACCTTTCGTTCACGGGTACGCTAGACCTCGTCACTATGTGCAATGGCATCCCTGAGACACTCACTTCTGCGGTATTGAAACACCTCAAGTGCGCCTTTATGTATTGCTATCTGTGACCGACTAGACCATTCAACTCTTGAAGACTGAGTGGCTTCTGAGCTTCTTCGTGGCTGTAGTGAGTGCATACTCGATTAACCTCGTAATACGGGCGAATGGGATTCACAATCAATATTTACTTCTGAGTGGACTCTCAGTGAAGCGCGTATTTTCTTGTAAATAATCGACCATGTGGGCAAAACTAGAATGGACGGGTCCTTTAGCTATTAATTTATTACTTATCGGCGAAAAGATTGTCTAGCTGAGCAGAAATTAAGTCATATAGCGTAAATACAATAGCGGTATCTAAAGCGACACGACTCAAACGAGGAGTGGCGCCCTTGTACAGTGCACTCCATCCTTCCTTCTGCACTATTTGTTTGAAACAATCAAACGAGTTCTTGTACTGTTTCGATTCCAGACCTTGCATTCTGTATACAAAATAATAAATGCAAGAAGCGTTGAGTATTGCGCAATTAAACGAAGGAATGTTCAGGAAACTCATTGTGGCATCGGTTGCACTTATAAGACAATAGTATCGCCCATTAAATGTGTCATGTGCGATACGAGGGTCCGTACTGAGCAGATGATACCAATGCTAAATAGAGCCACCCACGATCTAGTAACATGCATGACATGGTATAGGGCGGTGATATATCATTTTAAACTTATTTCCCACTCAGTATGAACCTTTATGAACCTCCCAAGGGCATTCAAAGGCTTGTAACGCTAGCTACTCCTTCATCGACTAAACAAGGAAAACAATTCACGTGCGCTCACTATTTATACACGCATTCAATCATACCTGGTTTTGACTACATCTATGGGTGTGTTTCCGTAGACACTGGCGGTTCCAGCAACCACACCAGCAGCCATGGTGACACCTACGTGCGGTACAGAAGCGTCTAGTTCTAATTTCGCGCAAAGTGTTTCACGGACACGGTTGTATACTACAAAGCGGATAGCCTGATTTGAAGCCTGGCGGTGGAGAGAAGTATAGTGAAGGAGATGCGATTAGAACAGACCGAGACTCTGGTGCAGATTAGTGCTCACGAGTATATGACAATAGAGACAATTTGATGCATGTCCGGGTGAGTCTGAACTAGTCCAGGTATGCGCTACATGGCTATTATTATGACCAAATACGATCGAATAAGTGATGTTGAGTTTAATGCGAAACATACAGCGTGAATCAGTTCTGAAAGTACACTTTCAAGTTTGCGCGAAACTTCACAGACACGCATCCTGGACAGGAAGTCTACCACAAGTCTAATACAAAGCACCCCACTACATAGTCACCCATACGGTCCAAATGGGCACGCTTACATGCGTGCGGGACACGTGAGACGATAATAACCGCACCAAACCAACTAAGACATACTTGCTTAACGATAGTAGGGCCAACTCCCTTGTAGATACCACTCAGACCCTCTTCCTTGACGATTGTGCTCACGCCGTGAATAAGACCCTTGTACCGCGGGTTGGGTAAACTCTGGTCGGCAATGAACTTGACCTTCACGGTCTCCATTGGTGTAACCGCCAACACCGCCTCTGTTGCACCGGCCATTAGACCCGCACAGAATGTTCGGCCCACCGTGAGCTTTCCATTCTCGTCTGCGAGGAGAGCCTTTCCTTGCTCGTACGCCGTGAATCGGGACGCTACTTTGGGGATGGTGCCCACTAGAAGGGGCGTAATACCTTTGTATAGGCCCGAGAAACCTGTGCAGTGCACGAGTCATGAATGTGTGAGCCTATGGAATACACTTGACATGTACCAGCTGCGGGAGATATGAGTGACACACATGTGTGAGCGAACTATGAATGCAGATAGAGCAGTGTATTTGCAGTGTATTATGATTTAATATCCACCTGTCTCGTGATTGAGGCTTAAACAATAGGGACTCCCTGTGTTCTCCGTTATTACCTGAGCATATACGCTTAGACAGAAAGTGCGATGTACAGCAACATAACGGCCAACCCCATTCATTCATAAACTTGTGTCAAAAAGATGAAGACAGCCCCTCATCACGTGTAACGTATGCCACGTGGGACAACAATATGGTCTTTCACATTACATGCAATATGGACAATAATAGAGACTCGTGTGGAGTAGACTAGAAACGAAAGCATAAATGTGCCAGAGATGCGTATATCTATTTTACTGTAGAAGCTTTGGTATCGAAGATGAATGGTAGAACTATCCTATTGAGCACTAGCATACCTTTATTTTTAATGGTTTGCCTGGCACAGTCGATGGCTCCTTTATACTTGGGGGTGGCCGATCGCTGATCCAACTGCAATTGAGTCTTGACAAACTCTGTGGGGTATGTCATACAGATCTCAACTCCGCCAGAGATGCCTCCTGTAGGTATAATCAAAATGTGAGCATTCTGGAATCTATGCGGTGTTCATGAAGCGCAAATCTATGCAATGTTCGTGAAGCTTCATGAAGCGCAATGTCGATTGCGGTCATAGAACAAATATCGTAAGGGCGAACACTATGTGGACCAGACTGATCTTTCAGGGTTTATTATATTGGCCACCTTTCAGATCGGATTGTGAGAATCTGTGCAAAAATAATAGAATATCCGTATTTTATCACAATTTGACAAGTGTGCGAAGTAGAGGTTTCATACATTGGAACGCTCTAGAAGACACGAACATTCTGTTTCTTTCCAAGATAGTTCACTCTCAGTTGACATTCTACGTGTATTTATGGAAGCGAACCATTTATACTTGCATTCCGTTGTAAATATATGGAGATGCCAGTACTCAAAATTTAATGAATGGCACTGAACCTTACATGACGTGTATTTACATACATAGAACGAAGAGAAGGCAGTCTCGTCGCGAGCTCGATATTGCTTGCAAATAGATTTCCAAACTTAACTGATAACGTTGCAAGACTGAAAATGATCACAAATAGCCATGATTTGTTCGTGTCCAAGCACACTCTTTAACTACCAAGTAACGACGTCGACCACATGTGCTAGCGATCCTGCGACGTACTATTTTATGGTTAAAGTTGTGTATGAAACTGAAGGACACCGAAACGAATTTGCATACGTCAGAATATACTTGTATTGGTACACACATAGAATCACTCTCATACATATGCTCTATTCGAAGCATTCACTCGTGCATGTACAAAAAAAAGTACGATTTTTATGTAGAATACATTTCAAACCAAACAGTTGTTTTGAAATGCGGCTAGAATTCGAACGTATATTGTTTGATTTATATCATAAACAAGAAGGATTGTGTAATACACACTATATAATCTCTCCGACTAAAACAAAGTACACTTTCGTACCATTATGAGTACAAATATAAAATTGTGACAAGACTGAAATTATGCATTTCCAGGTGGCAATCTTAGCTATGCTAAGGTGTAGCCCATAAAGATACAAAATATACATACCCGAGAGAATACTTTGGAGCGGAGACCGGGTTTTTTTGCTTTCTGAAGGTGCCATTTTAATGCAACTGCGATGAACGACTCTCAACCTGAAACAACCTGAAACAACCTGAAACAACTTAAAACAACCTAAAATAACCTAAAACAACGCCGAGGATATGCCGCAAACTTGCCTTGCAACACCACCTATTTATATAGTCTACATACATATCAGGATGGTATAATATAGGGGAGGGGCGCAGTGCGGCATTCATTCCGCAGTTAGTATGTAGGTCTAAAAAAAATAAACACCACAAAAAAAAATACATATTTATTTATCAGATGGTAATCAAAAGAATCTGTAAGTGACAGCCACTGCTCACTTTTTTTGTTGCTAATGCCTGACCGGTGCCGCGGGGCGGAAACCCCTATGGCGTGTAACGGGCTATATTTATTTAGTTCCAGACTTCCAATGTTCCACAAACGACCACGTTGATCGTTGGCCAGAAATCACCTATCCGATGCCGCCGATTGGCCAAGACATGGAATTTCTGAAGGTGCGTTTCGTATATTCGTAAAAAGCACTGGAGTCCTGGAGTCCTGGACTGATGAGTGGACTCGATTTGGAAATTTCATTTTTGTTTTGTTTTTAAAATCAGAAGCCCTCTGAAAGTGAAGAAGACTTAAAATTAACAAAATATAGGAGATCGCACTAACGTCCGAACGACGTTGTTTTTGGTTGTTTTTTTGTTATTGTACAAAAAAAACAAAATAACAAACTAACAGCTACAAAACACAGAAAACGAAATATTAAAAACAAACGGAAACAATAATAAAATTAAATAAACACTGCCCATGCGGCCATAAACAACCCCCGAGGGCCCAGACTAGCCTCATTTTAATAGGTTAAACGTCATAACTTTTATTTATCAAAAGTTACCGATAAAAATACAACGTTTATAACTGATAGGTACAGTCTGATGGTACTTTATCCAGGTCAAGGTGATGTCAGAATTTTGTCCTGTTGTTTTTGGCGCGCCCATGTATCAATACGTACCCCCAGAGCGCCCATAATTTCAACGATAGGACAATTTATCGAGTGCACTGTTAAAAAATTTGACAACTGATTTGTCCCAAATAAAAGTTGTAACTTTTATAATATCACACGAAGTTATGTATTTATCGATAAAATCAACCGTTTACCTGTGTACGTCTAACTTTAGCCCCCAGAGACCCAGACCCCACTCATCCCAGGGGCGCCCAGTGCCCAACTGCCCACCACCAGCAAAGTAAAAATTGTATTTGAAATCTGCTATGATACATACTTTTATACTTTATTTTAAGGCAAATCGATGAAAATTTAGGCCTATGGAGGCTATGGGGGAGAACTATTATAAAACACTTTACTCCGGTAACATATTGATATTTCTTTATATTTGACAGTATTTCCAAATTATGGTATTTGACTACAGTCAAACCTCTATTATTGTCGACCTCCATTATTGTTTGTACATACCATTTTGTCCAATTTTTGGCCGAAATCGGACCCTGGACAATATTCCAGGTTTGACTGGACATCCTAATATTTAAATATGCCTCATACTTTTCAAATCCATGATTTCGATGGTTTTGCTAATCCCAAATTTTGCCACTTTACGACATAAAAAATATTAAATATTAATCAATATTCGATTTTGTTGTATATTTCTCTTGAGGTCCAAAAGAGTGTAAAATAGCATGACCCTCTCGAGAGAAAGAAGAAAGAACAAAATATGGCAGATCGGACAAGATGGCCATGAAAATAGACCCTCTTTCTGACTTTGTGAAGAAACTATCGTGTTCTATTTTCAGATTTACTCCATCTTCATATTTACTCCACTTACTCCAACAAAACCTGCATGATAAAAGACTAAAATCAAAACAATGATTCGTATGTTCTGCCTCCTGGGATCCTGGGTCCTGGGCCCCTGGCCACGACATAATTTCTTGTGGATTCGGGCATTCGGCCTAACCTCATAAAGTTATGGGGTCACTGTATAAACGTTAAACCTTTAACTGTCACTTTTTGGAATATAAAAGTAATAACTTCTATTTGGGACAAAATGACATATCAGAATTTGGGCCTACAATAAATTTTAGTCAATCAGAAATTTTTAACCTGACACTTGGTAGTTGGCATTTGGTAATTAGTACCTAAAATCAGAACAAAATATATATACTCACTGACCTGAATATTGCACCTATTTATTTTGATAAGGGCTTATATAGGTATAAAAGGTGTCCTTTTTAAAACGTAAAAAATCATACAAAAGATATAATTATTATCTTCATGAGGTTAGCATTCGGCCGATCCGCGCATATATGCCAACGTTTAACTATGTAAGTCCCAACGGAAGAAATCAAAATATTGAACTACTCGAATATTCAACAGAATTGAGGTCATATTTTGAAATTCCCCAGAAATATTGCGCTCCAATATTTACTAGGAAAAAAATATACCTCAAAATTTTGTAGGTCAGTATTTTCCCAATAAATTATTTTTTTTAAAGTTTGCAAATCCGACCGTGCAACACTAGTCGCAAATATCCGAATAATAATAAAATCATATCCTTTCTAAAAACAAATTTGGGCTCAAATCCATAGCTGTTCAATTTTCATGCGGCTATGCCAAATCGAAAATAGAAAATAAAGAAAACAATGAGGAGGATGCGACAATAAATATTTGGAAATTTTAAAAATACATAATGGAATTTAAATACATCGGGTTGGCATTGAATTTGGCTCTGAGTCAAATGCAAAATACGATTTTGCCACTCTATGTCATTAATAGAGTCTATTATCGTTGTTTTGTATGTATATCGAGGTCAAATGTGCCTTTGAGACGTTCTGGAATCTGAACAACTCTTTTGTGATTTTTTTTAAAAACCCGCGAGTTGAAAAAAAATGAATTGTTGGTCCATACAGGCCGAAAAGTTGTTCAAATTTGCCACATTTTGCTCTATTTTATCCGCCATTTATAGGCCTATTTTTCATAGTTTGTTTATAAAATTTAGAAGGCTATGTGCAGTCAGACCTGGTTAATAGTCACCTGGTTAATTAGTCGACCTGGATACTAGTCCTGAAAATTTCAGACATGGCCATTTTTTTCCCTTATGTTTCAAATTTTGACGAGCTAAGCAGTGCAAAGGATAGACTATAGAGTGACACTGATCGTATGCACAAATGCTTCGGGAAGTGATAAAGTCCCTTTAGCGGTCATAGGCGCATACAAAAATCCCAGAAGTTTAAAAGGAGTGGACCCACCATTACCATACATAGACCAAAAAAGCTCATGGAATGATTCTACAATTCAAGAGTGGTGCTTCACTTAAGTATTCCTCAAACACGTACGTAAGCGAACAAAAGAACCAACTTGCCTCGTGATGGATAATTTTGGTGCATATATAGAGGAAGAAAGGTATGGGGTACATTTTGTACTCTTGCCTAAGAACAGTACAGCGGCATATCAGCCTATAGATGCAGGAGTTATATATGCCATCAAGACAGGTTATCACAACATTTGTGGGAGATAATGGTTGAGCTTATATCAGATAGAGAGAGGTTAGCGCCGAGAACGCGATAGGCCCATAATGGAAGCAAAGACTCAGACAGTAATGACATACTTCTTCACCGAAGGAAGGCGATGATACAATCATTGAGACATAATAGGAAATAAAACCAGCAAGTATACACACTATGGGATGATTTACAGTCAAACTGAGCCATGACCTCTCGACCAATCACAAGTCACAAGGCTAGTCTTTTGGATACTAGTCCGGAAAACGGAATTGGTCTAACAACCAGGTCTGAATGGATGTGTTTTGACTTTTGACTGTTTTCGGCCTCCAAAAACAATATTTTTGAAATACTTCACCGATTGTGTCAATTTCATCTTGTGTCCAGATTCCAGAACGTGCCAAAGCCACATTTCACCCGATGAACGCATCGAGAACAGTGGTCAAATTTTTGGTTTGAGTTGTTTTTGATCCAGACAAATTCCATACAAACCGGGTGAACTTTCCATCGATTTTCAATTTATTAATATCGCTTCTAAATAATTCTAGCGCCGTTCTCCCCAATATGTCAATATTCAAATATCACTCTTTTTATATAATTGCGGAAGTACCTTCACTGTCTTGGAACTTTGGAAGTTTCTGAGTGTAAAAAAATATACCATGTCCGAAATATGAGTTATGACCGAATTGGCTTGACAATTGACACTTGACATTATAACCTAAAATAGAACAGAGGCTAGGCTTAAAAATTCGTTCTCTATTTCTGCGCACATGCTACTAGCGTTCTATAAAGTACATACATAATACATACATTTACTGCGCACATAGATGACATAATAGTTTGCTTCTTATATATTGTTGTCATACCTACCCCTCTAATTTGAAAGGCTAAGATATTTATATATACATCTTGATTGCTGTGCGCTGAAAATAATTCATCCGATTCTATACATATCTTAGTGTTGTACACAATAGGATTCTGCTATTCTTGTGTGTGTTGTGTGAAGGTGGCGAGTAATCTTCCAGCTACGGTCTACAGATGTTAATTTGAGAACTAGTTTGGATATATATATATATATATATTATATATATATATATATATATA